TGACTGTATAAAAAAATGATCGTCGCCAATCACATTTATTCCAATTTCAGCCAATTAAAACGAACTTCTGCTATGCTAGGCGCAAACCCAGGCCTTTTATACCTTTTAGTTTACTAAGAGCTACTACGCTATTATACTATCTTCTCCACAATATTTTCCAATGCTTACAAGTAGATTGCCCGCAATCTAAAAAATCCTTCAATTATTTCTTTTACCTTTGCGTGCGTTTAGCTTGCAATCTAAAAAGCCTCCTGCCATTGGCTTTACATTTGCGCGCATTTGCTCGCAATCTATCGGCCACCTTCTGTCTATCATATCATTTTTAATAAACAATTTAAGAAAAGTAAACAAATAAAATTAAAAGAAATATCCAAGCCCCGATCTCAAGTCACATCTAAGTCACGGGTTTAATTCTAAAACCGTGACAATAACTATTATATGATTAACATAATCATTACTTGAAATTCAAAAACATTTCAAGAATAAAGGATTCTCGTAACCAATTTCATAGTAATTCTTTAATTCTTAGATAAATTCTTAGCACATTTTAGTTTAAATTACGAATCACTAAGTGCAACATCTCTCCATAAACCATAAATTATATCTTCCCAAAGTACACAATATACAATTTCAAATCACCTTTTCCTAATTTCACGATATTTATAAACACATTATAATTAATTTAAATATATCATCATCTAATATGCTCAAAATTGATATGATCAGATTTTTATTAGTTTTCAAAAAACTTATATTTTCTTAACCAATAATTTATTTGCCTTCTGAAATATCTCTTTTTGTGCCGATACTACCGATACAATTTCGATAGAATCGATCATTTTTTTATTGCTACATCAACACCCATGTTGGAAGTTTATCAATTTGATTTCCTACCTCAGCTGCTTTCATATAATATTCAAAGGCTTTTCGTCTTTCTTAACAATAATACTATATTGATAATTGTAACCAAGTTCATAAATTAATTTATAGAAACCTTTTTTAAAAGGAAAAAATTTTATGTTCCAAATATAGATATTTAATTGTCAGTGTAAAAGGGCGGATTTGTGGTGAATAGTACTCACAATCTAAACACAATAAAACAAAGGCTACTCGAAAGAAAATGTGGAAGATTTGGTCCGAGAGCCAAGGATCCTATTGCCATTAGAATCCCCGGTGTTTATTCATTAGATATCTTTATTATAACACTTCATTACTTTTCAGATACATGAAATCGAAGGTTATTTATACATTACAGAAAGTTTTGGGGCTTTGCTACTATGATCATGATCTTCTAAGCAATATGATTATTTAGATTGTCGGGGGAATCTATGACTAACGATTTATTCATACTCATTAACATTACTATGACTTTAGTTCCCACCATAGAGGCGTCTTACTATTGTTGTTCGATGCAGCTTCATCTCAAGCCAAACCCAAATAGGCATTTATCAAATTCTTTCGCTTTTGTCGATCAATGCGTATTAAGGTCCCGAGTCTTATGGCTTAGATCACGTTTTTTGATGCAGCTGGATCACGTTATCCCTTCACATCAGACGTTGAGAATTAATATTTATTCAGAGTATTACAAAAGGTACACAATAAATTATGGGTTTGATTTGCCTATTAGTTGATTAATATTGTCTATCTAACCGTATGTGCATTTTTATTTAAAAGCTTCATGCAAATGTCTGGTCGGCAATAATTGATTGCCTAGGTCTATGCTTATTATGATTTATGTTATTTGTGCTAGCAAAAACAATTTGATCAAACATTTGCAGGTAAATTTGCCTGTAAAATAGTTTAAGAGATAATAAAAACTAAAGTGTTCATTTAGCGAGGATATACATTTACGGAGAACAAAATACATAAACTTTACCATGTATTTGGAGAATACAGTATGTGTAGTTATGAATGTCTGACTATACTTTAAATAGAAATGTTTATTTAATTCATCATTGCGCTTTTCAGATTAATGCCAAAATACAAACTTACATGGAAGCCTGTCAACGAAGTGACAGGGCGTACTTTATTGCGAGATCAGATGACTTTATTCAGTCACATGCCTAAATTCGACCATGGAGGCCTTCAAACTTGCGGGTCATGTGAGAAAAACGCCACTGCCATTAGCCCATAAATATATGAAAGTGTAATAATGCGACAATAACTCGAGATTATATTGGGGAAATTAACAATCACTAGCAGTGGGCTACTCACATGACCCGCAAATTTGAATGCCGTCCTGGTCGATTCGTTACGTTTGTCTTGTTAGGCGTGTGCGGGTTTTTTAGAGGATTGTTGCATATTGTATATGATTGTTAGATTGAGAATTGTATGTATAGTTGGTTCAGGTGTAAATCAATCAGTTAGGAATGATTGAAAGTTTATTTTCACATGTTAAGATTGATGCGTTAAATCAGTTGTTTGATAATTAAGAGTATTTAAGCTGTACTAGTACATGATAAGGTATTCATTCATTTTTCTTGTCTCTATCGCTCGCCTTAATATAGAGTCTGGCTCTATTGTTCCTACCCACCCCAAGGCTTTTCCATTTTTTAGGTAAGTCAAACTCCACAGCTGCAGATGCAGTACAAGGGCACGGAGTAGCAGATGTTAGACTCTGGCTGCAGAAGCTGTGCAAGGACTATATTTCCTTATGTGTAGGTTCCGAGGCTGCAAGCTGCAGAGACCTGTTTAGGCTCTACGGTTGCAGAGGCAGTGCAAAGACCTTTTTTTAGCATTCAGTTCTTCATACTACAAGTACATCCGCAGCTGAAATCTTATGTCAAGAAAATCCAGAGCTGCAGATCACTTCCGGTTTGTTTCCGGAGGCCGATTTGCGATTAGTAAGTTGATATTACTTATATATCGGTCTGATGCTTTTTTTTCATCGCTTTTTGTTAGATTTTTTTATTTGTTCTGTTTCTTCGATTACTTTTCGTTATCTATTCGGATGTTTCTTAATTTACTATTTTTTGATGCGTTTTTGCAGATGTTTTTTAATGTGTTTTGTGTTTTTGTTATCATTTAGGTGTTTTTAATGTGCTCTATTTCTTCGATGCTTTTTAATCGTGTTTCTCAGTGTACTTTACTGTAATATTCATGCGAAAGTGATATTAACGTTTGTATAAACGTTGATATTCAACATTCATATGAATGTTAATATCAATGCTTATACGAACAGTAATATCACTTTAATTAATTCTATTATAATTGTAATAAAAAAGAGTTGTAAATTAATAAAAGTTTTGAAATTAATAAAATGGCTATAAAAAAAATTGTAATAAAAATTTTAAAATAGTTGTTTAGAAATGCAAATTTTTTTTTATAAACAATAATCAATATTCACTTTAACTGTCGCTTCAATGTTCGCTTTAATGTTCGCTTTAACGTTAAAGTAAACGGTAAAGTAAACATTAAAGCAAACGTTGGAGTAAACGTTGAAGTAAACGTTTGCTTCAACGTTTACTTCCACGTTTACTCCAACGTTTACTTCAACGTTTACTTCCACGTTTACTTCCACGTTTACTCCAACGTTTTCTCCAACGTTTCTTCCACGTTTACTTCCACGTTTACTCCAACGTTTGCTTCCACGTTTGCTTCCATGTTTGCTTCCACGTTTGCTTCCACGTTTGCTTCCACGTTTGCTTCCACGTTTGCTTCCACGTTTGCTTCCACGTTTGCTTCAACGTTTAATTCAACGTTTAATTCAACGTTTAATTCAACGTTTACTTCAGCATTTATATAAACGGTTATTATTCATACCTCTTTAAAATATAAACTTTTTTTTACGAATTTGTAAAATTTAGTTATTTTGATTCAATCTACTAATCGCAAATCGGCCTCCGGGAACAGATCGGAAAGTGATCTGCAGCTCGGGATTTTCTTGACATAAGCTATGTAGATAATAAACTGCAGAGATTGAGTTATAATTGTAGTCAATTGGTATTTCCCTCTCTGGAGTTTACGAATCCTTGTTCATATTATATGTGATCGATAGCTTAGTAGTTCCTCTCCATTTTCTGTTAATATATAATCTAGAGCCAGTTTATATGTTTTTTCAATGCTTAGTAGTTATAAAATCTCTGATCGAACAATAATATTTGGATAAAATATAACTTATAAATTTGTTTATTGATATTTTGAAATATGACAATAATGCAAGTCAATTAAATTTTAAACGAATCTTATTAAATTGAAGTTCGAAAATAGCTTTGAATATTAAACTAGATATTACAAAATGATTTTGTAAAATATTGAATAGACCCGTATCACAAAGCAGACGGTTTAACTAGTATTGTTATAATATAAAAAATTAATATAATAAAATAAAAGTGCGTACAAAAAATGTAATGGGAGGGCAATAATAATAAGAGAATTGATATAAAAAAGCAATATTACAAAATGAGAACGATATAAAGCTAAACCTATATTAAAGTGATGAAAAGCAACAGTGGGCTCTACGCGATATTTCGCACTAAAAGATATAAATTTAACAAATAATAGACTCAATACATAATTTTACATTAAATCACTATTTAATTCAATAAATTCATTGCAATATTTAGCAAGCAAATCAGCATTATGCATGTTAGCATATTCAAAAAGATCATCAGCATTAGAACACTCAACATAACCATCGCTGATAATTTTTTCTATCGCTTCCTTTTTCAAGTCAACTATTTCATAATAATCCGATGCTTTCAAAAAATCTTTTAGAATAGTTAATTGTCTTTCTTTTTCTTTAACAATCTCCTCATCCATCCTATGGTCATCATAATTTCTAATATCATCAGAATTACTTTTTGTAAGATTAATAGCCGTATCAAGTGGCATAGCATATAGATATCTTAACATAACTTTAAATGATTCAGGATTAATATCACATGCAGGAATTTTTGCTGCCTTATGTGGGTCTCCATCTCTATAATCTCTTGAAAATGCAATTTTGAAATGATTTGAAGCTGCTGCAAGTACATATCTATTTGCACGAATTTCACCATATTCATTAATAAAATTCTTCCACTTTTCTTGTAATTCCGGACTAAAATCTACGTCTGCAGAAAATATTACATCATTAAGTATACAGGATTCATCTTCTATTAATTGTTGAAGTGATTTTGCAAAATTTTCTGCCTTTGAACTTTTATCTTCATTTTTTTGTTTAACTTGAATATAATCATAAATGTTAGGTCTCTTTATTTCGCTAGCCCCTGCAGTTAATAATAACTTTTCGTATTTTGCAAGACTAGGTTTGACAAAACTTTGATCCAATCGATTAGCACCAATAGTTAATTTATCTGCCGATATCCAATTTGATTCGTCAAGAATATTTTCATTAGGATATATGTTTAAAAAAATTGGTTCTCCTTCATAGAAATCTGACTCTGTAAGATTATTTTCTTTACATTCTTCTTCAAGTGAAGTATAGATGTCATCTACAATCACTTTTAAAAGACGTCCTTCAAACACCCACTGATCAGATTTTATTATTTCCATGGCCACTTCACGTAAATGTTCAAGAGTATTTTGGGCACTTGGTTTTCCAAAATTCTTAAGCTTTGTAAATATTGGTGAAGTAGGACTTGGAACTACATTATTATGAAATATTGCCATTTGCGTAAAGCCTTAAAAAAAAAAAAATTACAATAAATGACAAATAAATATAATAGCACTAAAAAAATTGTTAAATATGTTATTTATAACAATGATATTAATTAAATTACTTTATTACCTATTGTTTTATACTTAGGTAAGCACAATGAAACAAAGCATTCAAATGTTTTGGGAGCCTTTGCATTTGATGAATAAGGAGGTTCAATAAACATTTCAGTTGGAACGAACGGTATAGCTATCAAATCATTCCATTCTACATCAGAATACCCAAGTTCATCGATGTTATCATAAAGATAGTTGACTATAGTTGTAGCACGATATATTAAGTTGTTTGGAGGTTTTTTACCAAATGTAAACTTTACAATTGCTTTCGCACATTCAAGAAAAGTACGTTGGTTTATTACATAATTAAAACCCATTCTTTTAATAATTTCATAACAAGAATTATCATTTTGAATGTCATCGTGAAGAAATAAATCGGAACCTTCAAAAGTGATTTGAAATAATTGAACTCTATAATCATAAAGATTTCTTGCATTTTTGAGTTTCTTCGTTTTTCTGTTTGGAAAAATGGCTTGATCTTTAATCCATCTCTCAGCTTGATTGAATTCTTTCGATTTTAAAACACTTTGGATAAATTTAATATGATCTTCGTGATATTCTCTTGGGATCACATAATATTTTTGTAAATAATTAATAAGGTTTATGTAAGGTGTTTGCAACGCTACTAGTATCTTTTTAAAAGTTTCATTTCTGGCCTTGAGGAATAACTTATTTGGATGGTTTTTTGAATTTATTTCAATACCATCTGGAGGAAGGAATCCATTAACTGGACTCGCGAATTGTTGTCCACATAAAGTAGGCCAAATTGGTAACTTACGTAGAATGTCTTTAAATTCATCTTTAACTATAAAGAAATTTAATCGTCAATTAATTAAAAAATATTTACTCTGAAAAATTACCATCATTATTTATTTACCTAATGTTCCATTGTTTAAACTAAAATTGTTCCAATTCTCAATAATAAACTTTCTCAAAACCTTTGCATGAAATTTATTATTTAAAAAGTTAAAACTTTTGCCATTTTGATTTGCAATATAAAATGATTTTAAAACGGATTCAGGTGTCCATTTATAGATATAGTCACTTAATTTTTCATCCCAAGAACGATCAGTAAATCTAATTTCTAATGTTTCAAGTATATTAACTAATTCTTCATAATGCAACATATCGTTTTTAGGTAATTCCATTAAGGGTTGACTCGAATCTAAAAATGTCAATTCTTGTATTGGACGTACAACTTCCAACAATGGATATTCATAAAATATATCCAAACTAGCGTTTGATTCCAAAATATATTTCCAAATTTTATTTAACCAAATTTCAAGATGATATT